CGAGAACTAAAGGTCTTGTACCGGTGGGGGGGCAGGCGCACGCCGCCTTCAAAGGGGCTGCTGCTCATGGCGCTGTCAAACCTACTGTGCGTTACCATGGCGCTCTGCCCACCCCCTGTACCGCCCGGCAACCACTGGTGCTCGGGGTCCAAGGACGAAGGGCCGTCCCAGCCAGGGTGCTGATGCACTGGAGAGCACCAACACAACGCCCAGAGCTCTGGCACCTCTTCCACATCCAGAAGAAATGACGTCTCGTTGGGTATGGAAGGCAGCTGAAGGAAAAGCCAAATGGAAAATGTCAGCATCAACCAAACAGTGAGAACAACAGAAGCCAGTGCCAGCACACTTACATCTGCTATGACATCACTTTTATTAGGGCCATTCATAGTTCTAATAACTGGATTGGATGTTGCTCACATGTGTTCCTCATCATTAAAGCCCAACCCTACCGCTCCAAAGAAACATCACATTTAGCATTTCAGTGATGTAATCGTCCCATCTGGAGATAAACTATGGCTGTTTTAACATTACCTTCTTTAATTAGTGTCTGTTTTTTAACTAATACTTATTTTTCAAGTAATTCAGTAGTAGTGATTTATCTAGTCATTGTGCTTTATGAACCTTATGTATAAACATACCCATTAGATGCTAGTGCTTATTCCAATAGTGACTAATATATATTCAATCATTACATCCTACTTTTCTACTAGTCACTATCCCAATACATCTGGTAACAACTTGCTATTTTTTGTTACTGAATAATATATCTGTGGTTTAGATCAGTTATTCACATTTGACTAGTATGTACGCCAATGTTGATGGTACCTTTTCCAGTTTTACTAATACTATTGCTACTAGTCAACCTCCCAATACTCCTGATAACAAATTGCTATTTTTTTGGTAATGATTTACATGGGAATCTGTAGTTTAGATCAGCTACTCGTTATTCGCTAGTATGTATGCCAATGTTGCTGGTACCTGTTCCAGTTTTACTAATACTATTGCAACTAGTCACTATGACAATACTACTGGTAACAAATGATTCAAGTTAGTGAATTCTATAGGGATCTGTGGTTTAAATATCAACTTCCCACTAGTATGTACTCTTTATTGCTGTTCCATATTCTAGTTCTACTAGAACTAGTGGTACTAGTTAAGCAAGTAATCCAATAACGATTAGTTTTACAAGTCATTATTGATGAGAAATGAGTACTTGTAAAATAAAGATAGATAGAAGTGTTAAAACGGCTTGCAGTGGATAAATTAACTAGCTGCTAATCGAAGCTTTATTTTTAGTCCAAGCTCGACTGTGTAAACCCGATATTGACTTCGATCGCTCTTTCGGGTTATTAGAAAACAGGTTATGAATGAGATCCTCCGGTTCGTTGTGAATAACCCAATTTCTCATTCATGACACACGGTCTCTGTCTCGTATTACACTGTAAATGCCCCTTCACTCTCTTATCCTATCTGGAATAGAAATTCACCGACTTATTCGTGTTACATTGAGGTCGTTTAGTCACATATATCACTAAAGCAGACTTCAAACTATTTAAGCTATGCGTTAGCTCGAATTACAAAACTCAACAGCATAGTTTTAGATATGAATGCCATGTAGCACAGCACATACCGAGGCATGCATAACAGTCCGATATAATAATATATGCATACATTTACAATAGATTCTTAACTCCAGTGCATTAGAATAACGCGCAAAACGTCGTTTTACCTTCAAATCGTTATCCGACTCAATCTTGGGAGTTTTCTTAAAACATAGCTCCTTTTGTGATTTCCATATAAGCGTTTATGCAAAATAGACCTTCTTTTAAAAGGATGAAGATCAGTTTCATGTCAGTTTTTTAAGTTGATCAGAGATCAGCTGTGTGAAAGTCTATCAGAGGTAGTGGAGGTTCGTGCCATCGAGCTGAAGTACCGACTGATATTTCTAAAAGGCTCCACCCCTTGTGTTCCAGTAAAGCAACCACACACACACTCACACACACGCACGTGGCGGATTGCCAATAAATAATCAGCGTGACCCTTTTTTACGGGATTTCTCCCCCCTCCCTTCCCTGTTCACACAAGGTGAAACGTTGCATTGCCCTTGCGGATATAAATGCGGTCGGTGTGTTATGACTGATGATATCTGACCACACACATGTTGCATATTATTCTGTTTTATTTGTCTATTTTATTTATTCATTTATTGCTTTTGCAGAGTCCCGTATTATAGTGTCGTTTACGGCCAGATGCATGATTGAACGTTTTGCCAAGCAGTCATTCTTGAGAAGTGGGACAAAACAGGGTGCAAAATTGAAAAAATAAAACCTTGTACTCAGACAAATGAAACTACATTTATGTATCTTATATGTACTAAGCTACTGAGCTATGCTTTGATACAACCTCCCAACTTTTCTCTTTTTTAACAAAATGTGCTTTTTTTTTTACCTTGGACAGTGTAATATAATTTCAGCTTTATCTTTAACAGCATTCAAGATGTTTTTAACATTTCAAAACACATTCTCGTGTTAGCAGACAGATTACACCTTCACATGTTACCAACAATTCCACAACAAATATAAAATATCATGATCAAATATTATCAAAATATTCAACTGACGGAGGTGACAGAGGAGTTGACACATCTGACGGTGGTGACGAAAACCTGAATTTGTAGTCATTTTAACTATCAACTACATTGAATCAGTCAATTACTGTATTAAAACAAACAACAAACAGTGAGTATGTTATTGTTTATAAAGCTTTTATTCAAGAG